GGATAGACAAGCAAAAGTTAATAAACTTACACTAAAAAATCACTTGATTTGGAGTCCGGATGATGAAAATATGAAACCTCAAAGTTTCAAAAAAATCAACTTATTTTCCGGGTAAGAAATCTGGGCAGGAATAGTGTTTTTACAGCAAGCAACATTTGATTTTTTTTCCAGAACTGAGGCTAAGAACGGATCCTTAAACGAGTTTTTTTGGAAAAATATGAAGAAGAAACCCCCTTAAAATCACGTTTTCTACCCGACATCGCGGAAGAAATAAAAAAAAACACGATGTAAAGTCCCTAAAATGCCCCTCGAACAGCGTAGGTCAAGATGGACCCAAAAAGCTGCTACACGAATTTTTTTCAGAATCTGTCCACAACTGAGAGCGAAAACAGACTACAAATAAATTTTTCTGGAAAAACACGAAAAAGAAACCCCTCCCAAAATCAAGTTTTCTATCCGGCCATGCCAGAGAAAATGAAAAAAAACTCACAGTAAGATGCCCAAAATGCCCCTTCAAGAAATCTGATCATGAGGGTCCAAAAAGCTGTTAAATGAAAACTGGAAGCTGAACTTTGCGATGGATTTCCGGCACCAAGATAACATTTTCTGGAAAAATACGAAGAAGAAACCCCCCCCCCCCCCCCCCTAAAATCACGTTTTCTAAGCGACCATGTGAAGACCGGAATTTATTTCCCGAAGAAAAATCCCAAAATGCCCCTAAACCAGATTATGCAATAAAGTGCAAAATGAATCCCTAGGAAGCTCAAATTGCCAAGGAAGAGGTTTTACCCGAAAATGACTATGCACGCAAACTTAACTTACCTAATTGGACATGCTACAATGGTTCACGGCTTCAAAATGCCAAGAATGCAAAATATGACATCTCAACGGCCAAAAATGCCTAAAAATGCTATAAATGAAACCATAATGCGAAACTTAGAATGAAATGGTGTTTAGCCCTTGGCCACACCTCATACATGATCATGGAATCCTATGAAGAAGAAAGAATGAAATTCCCACACCCGATGCAAAAGTTATGAGACAAAGACTTGTAAATTCTCAATGTTTTCACAATGACTTTGAAAGTAAAAGTGCATAGAATACATAATACATGATATTGGACTCCGACCTTATCTTATACATGTTGAATACAATAAAAAGAGTGTGCTTATGTACGCTTTACATATATGGAATCGAATAATACAAGTTTTATCAAAATAAACAAAAGTAAACATGATATGCTAACATGTGCATATTCAATGTCATCAAAATTACTTCAAGACTTTTGGCATGTCTAAGAGTGTTGTGTATTCCACAATAAAGTTTCTTTACCTGCAAAACACCCAGTAACTTCGGGGTGAATAAACAAGTCTAACAAGTTTATTCGTAGGGGACGAGCATGCATGACTCGATTTCTTTGGAGATTTTTAGGACTAACATGCTATAATTCGAAAAGGAATCATGCCACCTAACGTCTATGTCAAGATTAGACTCAGGGATCATCCTAAGCTATCTTAGATCATTGCTACCATAAATCACATCATCTATGCAATTTAAACAATATGGAAGTACGTTATACAAAACAACAAGATAAAGGTTCTTAAAGGTATCAACTTGCAATCTAGAACACAGAAACAACTAAAGGGATCATGCCACTTAACGTCTATGTTCTGAATAAGTCTAAGAAATCATCCTAGCCCATGTTGAACAATCAAAACACAAATTACAATTTCAATGCAATCTAACTGACATTAGAACTTCTAATACAACGCGTAAAACATGGTTTCTCAAAGTAAACATCCTGAAACTTGAAACGAGAAAACAAGTCATAACATCATCTAGTTATCAACTTGAAATGAAATGCAAAAGCAAATAAAGTGGATACTTGGATGTCATGCCGGATCAACCCAACAATGTGGTTACTTTAGGGTTACTAGCCCATGGGTAACCTCCCTATGTGCGCACTAGACTATATAGAGGGACTATCCTCTGCACTAAACCACGTCCTAGCCATAGCCAAACAACGACATCCTCAAGTTTCCAAAATCAACAAGTTGTGTAACAACGTATATATCAGCATGTATATGCAAGATAATCAACTATCTACCATGCACAACTAAATTTGGAAACCTATACAATACATGCTCTAAGTCCACAACTAATATGATATGATGAATGTCGAATCTTCAGTGTACGATTCGTTACACACTATGCATGAAAGATGTTAAATACGAAATGTGCAAATCATTACACAAGGCAACAATATATTTAATAAGGAAAACATATTCTCATGAGTATAAACATAGCAACCATCTTATCCAATGCTCAAAACATAACCAAATGAATATACAACAAGTCCATGTTCAGGATTTTGATATAGAAACGACTTTCAAACACAATTAAATCCATGACTCAATTAGATAGAATTTAATTAAATAAAAATAATTAAATTCCCTATATTCTAATTCAATTTCAAATAACCTCAAATTAATACATATTAAAGAACATGGCATGGTCATCACCTATATCCATTTTAAAACTCAATTAGATTATTGGAACAGCAAAGAAGAACTCTAATTAAATCATGCTAATTTAATTACCAAGGCACTAAAGCAACTTCAAATGGTTCACAATTAATATATACTAGTAAACAAGTCATGGCCAATACAAATATCAAGTTAAAATCTTAATTAAGCTAATGGGACCACAAAATTGATTATAAATTAATTCTTTTAATTAAAATCTCTAAATTTTTAAACTTAACCAAATACTCTCAATTTAACATATCTTAGAGAACATGCCAAGGATTAATGTAATATCACATTACAAGCTTATTTCATTCAATTTACGACCATGTGAATTAAACTTTCACTAAAGTTAAATATAAAATAAAAGTTATAATTCTCATGCAATTAATCTCAATTTAATATATGTGAACAACCATACCAAAGCCTAATTTTCTAGCATACCATAATTCAATTCCAAGTTGTATATCACCATGAGGATTAAATCTTAAACAAGGAAATTAATTAAATGAAAGGTTTCAAAACCTCACCGAATATACTAAATCAAATATATGTGAAGTTATATGGCATGTAGATTAAGAATATCAAGTCGGAATTCAAATGGAGTGAATAGTGCACTCGGGACAAATTAATTAATCAAGTTAATTAATAATTACTAATTTTTAAAACACCTCCAATTACTTTCAAATTCAACTATGTTGAAGAGCATGCTAAGGCCAAATATAATATACTATCACACATTGATTTCAAGCTAGTTAAGGCCACATGAATTAATATTTTATTCAAGATAAATATTAAATAAAATCTTCATTTCTTATCCAAATGCTCCAATTTTAATATATCTTAATTAACATATCAAGGTGTAATATAATGTCAAGCCATAAGTTTAAAACATGTTATAACTCACTGGGAAAATTAAATTTCATACTAGAAAATAAATAATCAAAAATTCTATATTTAATATCCAAGCATGCAATTGAGTTGAATAAGTATCACAAGCATGTAATAGAGCAAGAAAGTAAATTATGACACCCCCTACCTCAATTTGAGATGAAAACCTCAAAGGCCCACCGAAAAAAAAGTGTTCCGAATCCGCCGAAACCGAAGGGTTTTGTCGGGGACAACATGATCTACATGAATCCAAATGAAGCCCCATGAAAATCACAACTTGACCTCAAACCCAACTCAAGAAATGGTCAAAAATGAATTCTAATAAGGGGGAATGGTAGAACACGTCGAGGGAAACAAAAAACGTGAAAGCAGAAGACTTTTCACTTAGGAAAAGTAAATCAAAGGAGGAGAGAGAAAGTGGCAGCTCCATGGGCATCCATGGCTGCTTCAGGTCGTGCAAGGGGAGTGAGGAAGATGAAGAATGAAATATCTCATCCCCCTTTTATAGAAATCTCAAAAAGTGCCCCGAACGGGCCCCGCCAGATCCGGAAAAGTGGATTTTGAGCAAATGCGCTCAAACGGTAAAATTCTGTGAACAAAAAAGATTTAAAATGAGAAAATATGAAGAACGAAAGAAACAGCGTCAGAAACTGAGTCCCGAGCAGAAAGTTATGCCCCGAACAAGTTTGGCGGCAACCGCGTCCAAAAACTCTGAAACTGGAGAAAAACGACCAGAAGGAAATTCTATGAATTTACGAGTCAAGGAAAAGTGAAAATGAATCCCGTACGAGGATCGAGGCTCCAGATGAGATATTTTGCAATAACTTTCGTTAATTGCATAATGGCCCCTACAAAAAGGGTTAACTGCGAAACTGCCCCAGAATGAAAATATCTTCCAAAATATATTTATGAAAAACACCCCAAGAAAAGAAAATAATTTCAAAGAATTGTGCATCCATACCCTTATGGACACCAGGAGCAACCAGAGTATTTTCTTGCAAAAGTAAAGATACGTATTTCATGGAAACCACTTAGAATGAAGACACGTAAAGTCAAAAACCAACTCCGAACATAAAAAATGAGGTTGTGCCAAAAACTAACAAACGGAGATAAGACAGAATAGGGAAAATGACGATATAGGGAAAAGTGTCTCGAAAAGTGAAAATGCGAAAATGACTCGGTCCTCAAAGGAAGTTGTCAATCCACACGAAAGAGTCTCAGAAGCCAATTCCGAACACTCAAGATGACACTAAACGATGAGAAACAGATCTCAGAAAAGAAAATTAAATGGAAAAAATTCATCCGTAAAATTTCAAGAAAAAGGAAAGGAAGGTAAATGACCGGGTCATTACATCTAAGGAACCGTGTAGAACTTCTGAACAATCAGGTTCAAAGTTTTTGATGAAAATTCTTATCGGTCATGATAGACGATGCTATGAACAATTTAGAATGGAAAAGCTTGTTTTCAAAAAACTTTGTGAAATTTTAGAGCAAAAGTATGAATTGAAAAGTAGTCGAGAAATTAACGTGCATGAGAAAGTAGCTACGTTTTTAATGACCATTGGACACGGTGTATGTAACCGAATGCTTCAAGAACGTTTTCAGCATTTCGGTGAAACTGTAAGTCGACATTTTACAGATGTGTTAGTTGCAGTCATAAAGATGTCTATGGATTTTATAAAACCTCTTGATCGTGAATTTAAAGAAGTACCTAAATACATTCGCGAGAATCGAAAGTACTGGCCACATTTTAAGGTAATTCTTTATATAATTTTGTTATTTTAATTTAATATTATTAATTATATAAAATTTTACTATTTATTGATTTTAGGATTGTATCGGAATAATTGATGGGACACATATTGCAGCTGTTATCCCTGAAAATAAGAAAGTTCCATACATAGGAAGGAAAGGGTATTGTACTCAGAATGTAATGGCTGTGTGTGACTTTAATATGCTATTTACATTTGCTTGGGGCGGTTGGGAGGGACCGGAAGGTTCGTTCATAAATGAATTATATCTAAGATATTCTTTCTATTATTAAAAAATATAATATTTCATTAATTATTTAGTTTTGTACGATATATTGTCTTCTAAAATTTTACTTTCGTAAGTAAATATTATCTAGTTGATGGTGGATATCCTAATATGAAAGGATATTTAGCGTCTTACAAGGGAGAACGATACCATCTTCCAGAATTTCGTCGTGGAAGTCAGCCAAGGGGCCCTCATGAGTTCTTCAATCATGCTCACTCATCTTTGAGAACGATTATTGAAAGAACCTTTGGTGTTTGGAAAGCAAAATGGCGAATTCTATCACAAATGCCTAGTTTTAGTTTTTCAAAACAAGTTGCAATTGTTATTGCATCCATGATGATTCATAATTTTATACGGCGAACAGCTATTATTGATGACGAATTTCAACGATATGATGAAAATTTGGATTTAGTGCCTAATAAAGAAAGGAATGATAATGATGAACACCCACGTGAGAGGTACATTGGCGATGACAATGAGATGGGGGTTGTTCGTGACCGTATAACTTCTCAATTATATAATTGTTAGATGTTTAATTTTTAATAAATTATGACTTGTAATTTGTTTTTAAAATAACCATAATACATTTATGCTATTATCTCAAATGACAAGTAATAAGATTATTAATTGTGGTTAAAGTGTTTAATTCTATTTTATGAAATGTTATCTATATTGTAAAACATTATATTATTAAATTTTATTATTAGATAGCATATGAGCAAATTTGCTTATTTTATTACTGAAAGATCCAAAATTAGATACAAAATAATCATCATTAAAATATGTTTAACTCATTTATATTTTAGTACTCAATACAAATTTGATATCATAAACAAAATATGTGATATTTAAAAAAAAAAAAAAATACAAGTTCTTCGTTATAAATCATTCAACTCAATGGAATTTTATAATATTTAATATTAGGAAATTATCATATGTTTAATGTAAGGATAATTTAGTAAAATTAGTAATAAAAGTGCTTTAAGCAATATTATTACCAAATAATTTTAAAAGTGCTTCAAGCATAAATAGTGTTTTATACAATGTGTCACCAAACGCTTAACTGCGTTTTATTGACAACACTTTTATAACAGCTCTACTATTAAAAGTGCTTTTAACATTCTAACAGCAATCCCAAACTGGCTCTTTATCTTCAACTTTGTCTCTCTTCTCACTCCCCTCTTTCTCTAACTCGATGTTAAAAAGGCGACCACGAAGCCGGCGATTAAAAAACGGCGGGCATGGCAGTGACAAACTTGGTTGTGGCGGCTTGATGGAGACGGGCTGGCTATGAGGCCGAGGTGGAGACGGGCTGGTTGTGACGGCGAGGCAGGTGGACTGAATGGTAGAGACAGTGGCGGCTCAGCAGGTGGAGGGCTCGGTTGACTCGACTGTGAATTATTCGTGGTGGCAAGCTTGGGGGGATTGAATGGTAGCCGAACTCACAGCGAGCAAGGAGGCTTCGGACGGTGGAGAGGATAAAGACGACCTCGACGTTTCAGCTTTAGATGATGTCAGCTGTGATGGACGGCGGGTGGTGCAGTGGCGGTGACGGACCTGCGAGGGCTCAGCAGTGAGGAAGAAATACGGCGGTGAAGAGGAGCTACCGACAAGTGGATTTTGATTTTTTGATTTTTTTTTTTTTAATTTTGATATCGATTTAGATAGAGAGCTGTGTGACGGTCCCAATCATAGTGAGAACACTTTCTAGTTGATTTTTGTGATGGATATTTAAATTAGAATGAGTCAAGTTGCAGAAGAGTGCCTGCTTCATTAGAGGTTGGAAAATGGATTGAATCTGCTAAATACTCTTGAACTGGAGTGGGAAGTACAGATAGAATATGTTTATGGATTTTGATTGGATTTTGATTTCTTGTTCTAATGCTAAATGGGTTTTGATTTTTTGATTTTGATTTTATTTTTTTTACTCACTGTATACTAAGCTAACATTTGGGTACAAAAGTTTCAAACTATACATTGGATCGTTTCAGTTCTAATGCCAAAGGACGAGCATCATATGTGCTGTGTGTATATGTATATCATAGCTGGAGGAAAAAGACAATGAGTGAATTTGTTAGGATTTCTTCGGGTCCAATGGTGTTTCATGGACATTATAGTTTTTTAAATTTGATAAGGGTTGTATGGTCATTTATATAAATTTGGCTTATCACGTGCAAGGAAATTGATCGGCCGGTTGCCGGATTGGGTAAAGTGTAACAAACTGAATAGTTTAAGAAGGTTTTTTTGTTCAATGCGCTTTACCCTCATTTTTGTTGTAATATTTTAGTTGAGAAAAGATAAAGTCAGAGTGTACGAACAAAATCAAGCAAAATATAAATTGGAAAAAAAAAAAAAAAAAAAAAGTCAACAAATTGAGGACAACAGAGATAAAACTTCAAAACGACTAGAAGATGGAACCACGTTATTCCGAGGGTTATCACTTCCCTATCTATATTTTTTTGACTGGGAACTTCCTTTTCCTTCTTCTTTCTTGTCTTCTCCTCCCGTTAATATCATGCCCACATATATATATATATATATATATATATAGTGTGTCTCTCTCTCTCTCTATATATATATATACACATGTACATACCACGCGTGCAAGTTGCCAACTTACCACCGACATTTATTTCACTCGCCGCCCCCAGTTCATTCTGCCCCATTTTTGCGCTGTAACATGACTCAAACGCCTACCGAGTATTATTTTAGTTAAAAGCCAACACAGCTGACATATGCTTACATTTGTGCACTCAAATTGTATTTGAATTTGACTCAAATTGAATTATTTGATATTTCAATTTGAGTCAAATTCAAATACAATTTGAGATATGGGTTTTCAAGTAACCCAAGCCCAAATTTTTTTCGGGCTGGATGGGTTGACCCATTCAACACCCCCCTCCCTTTTTTTTTTTCAAATATGCAAATTATATCTCTGTTTGAAAATATTAATTTTTTTTTTAATTTGGATTTAAAAAAACAAAAAACAGATTTGAAAGTTTAAAAAAAAAAAAAAAAACAGATTTTAATAAATTTAATTTGGATTTTTTTTTTTTTAAAAAAAAAAAAACAGATTTGAAAGTTTAAAAAAATAAAAATAAAAAATTTGGATTTTGGGCTCGGGTTCAACCCGAGAAAACCAACCTGATTTGAGCCCAATTTGTTAATATCAAAGCCCAAGTTTTAAAATTTTTGGGTTGGATTCGGGTTGGGTCGGATTAGTCCGCCCAAGTTGCACCGTTACTTCAAACACAAAAATGAAAGATTTCTCTAATGAAGTCAAGGAAATCCCATTATAGTATTTTTTAAATTTTTTTTTTTTCTTCTTCCTTGGAACATATATTTTGAGTTGGTTTTGAACATATTATGTATTATTGTTGAATTACACCAATCTGGACAATCTAGAGCATCCTTACACATACTGGATTAATCTATTAATATTTACTTTAAAACTGAAATTTATCCTTAGATTGTACGGAAAAAATAATAGATACAATCTCTAATGAGACTGGAAAAATTATGTAAATGTCCTTGCTATTCTTCTATACTTCCTTGGAAAAGGTGTTCAACCAATATTTCTATATTGGTCCTCTTTTTCTTTGTGAGCATGGATCTGGGCTGCGTTACAAAATCTCAGTAGAAACATTATCCTTGAGATGTTCAAGACTTTTCAATGTTTGGAGAACTTCCCTTACGAAGAAAATTGAAAATCAAAGATAACTCCCAACTATTTATGTGTTGGAGGGGAAAAAATTATTGTTAAATAAAAGTGAAAAAGTTTAAGATTCGATATAAAATGTATTTTATTAGAATAAGAAGTATTCCAATTAGAAATAATTTTTTATTTCAATGAATAAAATTGATTACCTTATAGAAAAAAATAATTAGTTGAATTGAAAATCAAAATATATGTTAAAAATCAAAATAAAAATCTAAAGTATTGAAAAAATGTGATCCTAAGAGTCCGAGAGTGGATATAACTTGAGATATGGCTCAAATGAATTGAATTAAACATTAAATAGGACCCTTTTATAATTTTATTTTAAGAAAAAAAGAAAAAGAAAAAAGGAAAGGAACGTTTTAGGATAATACCGAACGTTTTAGGATCCCACAGTTTTCTCTAACTCCTCCTTCTCTGTTCCCACTTGTAAATTACCCGAAAAAATAAAAATACGAGCAAAAAGTAAAATTGGCAGCTGACCAAAATGTGATGGACTGGTTATTTTTTAAAATTCTTTGGTCCAGGCCGGGCATGGGTTCTTAAAAAGAACAATTAATTTATGTCTGGGCTTATTGGCCTCTAAGTGTGTGGGCTGTCAAAAAAACATTTTAGGCAATTAATTTAGTTTTGGGGCTTGTGTGGCCTGTTCATAAACATTCAAGTCTTCCAAAACCAAATGAATTCCGATCCAGAAACGTTAACCCCAAGCTAGTGGTAGTTGGGCGGTCATCCGAACCATTACACCCAGTGACGGGATGATTCGGGTCGGCCCGAAAAGGCACCGCTTTGGTATAAATATCATCTTTCTGAATTCAGTTCGAGTCTGAATTCATTCAAGTCTTATTCTATGGGTTGAAGATTTTTGGTTTGACAAATATATAATATTTTGTCAGTTTAAGAATTAAAAATAGACGACTTGGATTAACATTGCAAATGGTGAGTTCTGAAGATACTTTGTTTTACTGAACTTTGGGGGATTTTGTCTGGTGGTTGTTCTTTTCTCCCACTTAATTCTTAGCAAAAGGATCCACCCGAATCCACGTTCTTGGATGGATTTGTAAAAGTCTAGTGTGTTTGTGTGTGTGTATTCACAGCACCTTTGAGCATTATGGCGATCGAGGATACAAATCAACAACTTTTCATATGCCTTGTCTATGTCCCCTTCATTTTCATCTACTCACTTGACACACAATAATGTTAATATAGGAAATAAATTATAAGACACTTCTAACGTAATTTCATTGTTTGCTGTTACTATGCAGACACAGGTCATACGCACCAAGTGTGTGGAGTTGATGCCATTATTTTCTGTGTCATTTTTGCTGGCACTAAGCGCGCTATTGTGTGGGTTCTTTTATGGATTACTACAAAAGGATTACTTTATCACTGTAATTCCTCTGTCTCAAGAAGATCCACAAGATGTTCCCCTCTAATGGAGCTGCAACTCTCATGAAAATATCTCATGAAATTATCTAAAAACTTTAATATATAATCTCGTATAGAATATAGATACATGAACATATTAGGCAATTAATGTTCTCTAACTTTAACAATATTGTAGAGGAATAGCCACTTTCATGTTAATCAATCTTTAGATATATAGGCACCAGATCTGAATATGCATGACAGGACTATTTTGATACTGTTAGAAGATGAAACTGCATGAGTGGCTTGAGGATAATTGGCTGAAGTTGGCAAAGTTATTTTAATGCAATACAGATAGAGGCAACTTTTTGGTGCAAGATTGAGGTCAATTCAAATAATTCCATCCCACTTAATGCAACACAGCCCAAATCCCATTCAATTTTTCCATTTTCAATGAAGCCCAATTCTTTTTTTAAACAAGTTTGTGTCACCTTTTTTTGAATTTGTGCATTATTTCCATTCCTAAATTCGCATTTTAGTGCGAAATGACAGCACAACTAAATAAATAAATAAATAAAGTTGCTAAAGGGTTTATAGTTCAATTTTCTATCCTTCCTATTTTCGAGGAAAAAGAGGAAAGGGATATGAGATCAAGCGTACGTAGGCAAAAACTGTGTGTTTACCTTTGTTGAATTAAATAAAAAAAAAAAAAAAAAAAAAAAAAACTCATACTCACATCAAAAATAGATCAAAGACCCAATTCACATAATAATTGAAAATCGACCATTTTAATTGTTGCAACTTACACCCTAATCATATAATGTAATGGCCAAAATAAATTAAAATAATATATAATAATAATAATTAAAAAAAAAACCGCCGCCGCACATTACATCATCAATTTGGTTATTTATCTGATTTTTTTTTTTTTTGGGTAGGCAATGGCAAATCAAAAGTATATGGATCCTAGCATCTTGTTGGGCCTCATTACAATAATAGCCCTTCCCCTTACGGAAATTACTTCCTATGTGGAATACCCATACCTTCTCTTCCATTTTATTTTCCTTTTTCGGAATTAATTCTTTTTCACCCTCTGCTACTAGAAATTAGCTTCTTCCATTTTCCTCCAATTATTTCCATTAGTATATAAGAAAACTAATATTCTATCACACTTTTTCTTTTCTCTTCTTAACACTTTTAGCTTATTCACTCTGTGTGCATGCAATTAAAAAAAAAAAAGAAAGAAAAGAAAGAAAAGAATATGTTCAACTTTTATTCGTTTTCAGTGTTCCTCACTTGATAAGGTTCTTTGAAACTCCAAATATTGTAGTTACCTGGAAATCTCTTGCTACTTTATGTGAAAAAAAAATGAAAGCTAACATTTTCGTAAAATATTAAACAATTAGATAAGAGTCCATCAAAAGAGTCGTTGTCGTCGTCATTATTCTTACTTTAATTTTATATGAACCTATGAATGGTTCTGCCACATTCTTTGTTTTTAAGTTATCTATCATATCACCAACTATATTTAATTTTAGAAATATAAAAATATATATATATATATATATATATATATATATATATATATTATGTTATGGTAAGATTATGGTGTGAATGTGGACATATGTACACAATAGTTGGGCACGCAAATGACACGTGACTCTTTGAAGTAGCAACGAGTTCGGCATAAAACAAAACCCCACTTTGTAGTTTACTTGATCAAATTCACAAAGTGATTGTAAAATTAAATTGTTAAACTCAACTTAATAAAAATATTTTTCTATCTATTTTGTTGATCCTATGACGTAAATTAGAGTTTCATTGTTCAATTAATACATTATGTGAGTTATAATTTTTTAAACGAACAATTATTTTGAGACGGAAATGTCTTGTCATCTTCAGACTTTTCATAAATACCAAATGACCAAAAATAAATGATTAGCGGCTCACCCACGTCAAGATAAATTACATGTCAGAATTTTGAAAGTTTATGTCGACTAAAAAAATAAAAATAGAAGATTGTGAAATCCCTATACCATCCTCAAAAAGTTTTAGAAGTGGCCAATAAAGTCCATGTAAGGTTGCCTCCAAGTTGCAACCTTATATGGAGAAGTGGCCAATAAAGTCCTCCATGTCAGCGTTCTAATGGGAACACAATTGATCAATTACGTGATATAATCCATCAACGGGATAATACACACACACACACACATATATATATATATATATATATATTCCCCCTCCCTGTAAGCTATTGGACATTTTTGATTTCGGGGCATTGGTACCCTTAATCTAGGTAATACAGACCCTAAAAATGGCCCCCACAATAATATTAATGCTAACGTGGCAAGTTCTTATTGGTGACTTGATCATTATTAATTCTGGATTGATTATTTTCCTGAGTAGGATGGAGGAGCACATACTGGGAATTTGGGATAGAGGATGGAGGGCATATCAAACCCTTCCAGAAACTGAAGTGGTGAGTTGTAAACCTTAAAGCCAATGGGATTGGTGGGTGACACTATGAAAAGGGGCCAAGTGGGACCCACTAAGGTATCTTTGTCATGTACCCTTAATTATACTAAAATAAGCTGGTGAAGGGTTGCTTGTATTATGCCCGAAATAAAAATAATTGTGGTAGTGTGTTTGGCATAAGCTGCACCAAATTTGGGTAAAATGGAGCATTAGGGAAATACAGCTGTTTGGATTGTGATAAGAAGAATCCACACTATACTCTTTAGCCAAATGTAAAAAAGTACATCAAAAGATTTACATTTACCACACTCAGTTAAATTAATCCCCCAACACCTCTATATAAATGGAGTCTCATAGCCAATGCTTATGTACTTGTGAACATTAGCCACTTCTCTAGTTGAGAACACTGCTGCTTTTTAGTTATACAAAGAGATGTCTTTCCTCTCTAGTCATGGGGCTTTTGCATTTGGCCTTCTAGGTACAAATTAATACACCTTGTATCTGTCACCTGTATATGTATATACACACACAAACACACACAATACCTAGAAACATTTTATCTCAACTCATCAGAATAGTGCATGTAGTAGGGATGCAATATTATGCAAGCACAGCATGCATGCATGCTTATATTTACTTTTATGTTCTTTCCAAACTTTATATATTCAAACCTTGTAATATATATCACAGTTGGAGTAATGGTGGACACATACATGCAGATTTAATAATTTTTAATTAATTTTCTCTGCTGATGCTGCAGGTAACATCGTCGGCTTCTTGGTGTTCCTTGCGCCAGTGTAAGTCTTTGGCTGTTTTAACACTCTTGCATGCTTAATGGGATTCAAGCTTATCATCTTTTCAATGAGTCTTTTATGAGAAATATGGACTGAATTCTGAATTTTTTGATGGCAGACCGACGTTCTATAAAATTTACAAGAAGAAATCCACTGAAGGGTTCCAATCACTTCCTTATGTGATTGGCTTATTCAGTGCCATGCTCTTGATATACTACGCATTCCTCAAGTCCAGTAGCACCATTCTTCTCATCACCATCAACTCGTTTGGCTGTTTGATAGAGACCACATACATATTGCTCTATATATTTTATGCACCAAAGAAAACTAGGGTATTAATTAATTAACTGCTAATTCCATCTATATTACTTGTAAGTATTTTTTCTTGATTTTACTCGAATTGTCTTCCAATTATTGAAGTTTGGACTACTGGAATTGCAGATCCAAACCATTAAGCTGTTTATTTCGCTGAATGTTGTTGGATTCGGCCTCCTCCTCCTCCTAACTCAATTTCTTGCCAAAGGCTTAACCCGTCTCAAGATTGTGGGAATGATTTGCCTAGTTTTTTCCCTCTGCGTTTTTGTTGCACCTCTCTGCATTGTGGTGAGTAGCCTGTATATAGTAGAACTAAAATCTCTTTTTATACGTGTGTATGTGTGTGTAGGCTGTTATTGAAAGAAAATAAATGTTTATTTTCATATTGTTCATTGAAAATGAATATATTGTTCGTTTTATGGTTTTAGTTTCTTGCATATTGATCCATAATTTCTTCTTTTATTTTTTTCATGTTGTGCAGAGGCAAGTTATAAGAACCAAAAGCGTGGAGTACATGCCATTTCTTTTGTCATTTTTCCTCACACTAGGTGCAGTTATGTGGTTCTTCTATGGTCTACTAGAGAAAGACTATAACATTGCCGTAAGTGTGTTATATATATACATATATGAAACCCTAGCTTGCTAGCTAATTGAACTTTTTCTTCCTTTTTCACTTAAATTTTATTTTAACCCCAATGATGTTTTTCAATTTATGTCAATAGATTCCAAATATATTGGGTTTTGGCTTTGGTGTTCTTCAAATGGTGCTTTATGTAATCTACAAGAAGCCAAAGAAAGTTGATCACGAAGAGCAAATGCTTCCTGAATTACAAAACCAAATTATAGTCTTGGAGGAGCATAAGCTTCCTGAATTAACAGAACAGATCATCAACATCGTGACACTGAGTGCAATGGTGTGTTCGGAAGAAATTTTGCCATTGGACGTCGAACAAGTGAAGGATAATGGACATGACGACATAGTTGGAGATCAGAATGTTGCTAAGGAAAACATGGAAGCTTGATTGAATAAGTGAAGCAATGTCATATATTTCTATATCTATGCAGTTCTGCAATTAGTCCCTAGCTCTTTCGTGTCGACACAAGTCTATCCCCCTTTCTCGTGTACTTTTTGTTTTTTTCAGTTGTATGTCTTCTTCATTAGGTATTATGGTAATGAACATAAAAATTAAGTTTAAATATTCCATTGTTCCTTTATTGTTGTTGGATTACACACACATGCATATAACCATTCAAGGAATTGAAATGCATGTTCTAGTAATCAGAATCAGAGCTCTTTGGCTATAAACGGATGCATTTCACAATATAAATTTAGAACATAAGTGGAGAGAAGGAATACAATGAAAATATATATTTTATTCAACTTGAAAAAAATGATTCAAAAATATATATCTAACCAATTACATATAAACGTTCAATTACTCCCATTACTCCACTAACTTAACTTCCACCATAACCTCCAAAAGAACATTTGAGAAGCATATAACTCAAAAGATCAGGTGACATATATAGTCTATATATTCTCTCTCTGTCTCTCTCTGTCTCTCTCTCTATATATATATATATAACATTTAATTAAGCAACATAGTTATATAAGGGATAGTCAACAGGCTTGGAAGAACTATCTTTAGTGGCATCCTCACAAATTGGAACTACACAGATTGTATTTGTGTCCACGCATTGCTAATATATATATATATATATATATATATATTGTTATTTTATGAAATTAAGTTTTCTTGTGTTGTGTATCATAATTCATAAAGCTTGCTAACCTAACTTGTCATGTGTATATCATCTAATTAAGGGAAGAATTAGAAGAGGTTAGAAAGCACCTTGTGTACTTTAATTTCTTGGGGGTGAAGTGATCGAAATCAATCCACTTGCAAAATCGCAATTAAGTGGAGCTATTTCTGAGGAAGCTCTTCCTGATATATATCCAAGTGGTTCTCTCCATTTTGAGTGCATGTAAGGGCCAGTAATCATGCCAAACTCTTAAAAAACCCATGCTTGAAAGATTAAGATTCTGTCCTTGGTGTTGAATGAACTGGAAAGCAAGCATTATTCAATGTGAACATGGCCCACCATACCAATATTATCTAAAATTAAACATATATATATGTATGTATTGTGAGACCAAGGGAATTGATATTTCCTTGGAATAGTTAAAGATTTTCAGAGCTAGTGATCAAGTTGAAGAATTATACATATCTTACCGTTAACGTGATTGATTGGGATTACCTTTTATCTATTAGCATAATTAGCGTAGATTAGAGCTGACTTTGTAAACTTAATACTTTCCTTATATGTTTAATATGTGTATAGTATATATACCTCCTTGTGAGAAGAATAAAATGATCGTAATATTTTTCTCCCTATTTTCCTCTAGTTTTGACATGGTATCAAAGCCTACACGATTAGAGTTTTTTTGATTTACCTTACCCATACCCAAACTTATTGTTACTCTAAATACCTAAAATCATGCCTGTCGCTGGTTGTACTCTGCTTGCTGGTGGCCTTATCTTTGCTTCCAATCGGCTTGGTTTGTTGCTCAAACATTTTCTATTGGCAAAGATGCTTCACAGATGTATGAACTCCGTTGCCGAGCACATGAGGCCCGTCAGAATGGTAAGACTTTGACTGAGTATTATGCTGCACTTCAAATTATCTGGCAAGAAATGGATTATCTTCGTCCGGCCATTCTGAGATACAAAATGAATCTCAAGGTCCTCGTTATCCTGTTCGTCCTAATCGGGGTAAACTTCCTAAATGGTTTACTTTTTTATTTGGTAATGTTGTCCAATATCCTATATCCAATTATGTATCATCTCATCAGTTGTCTAATTCATATAATGCTTTTGCAAATCAATTGTCCTCTGTGCCCATTCCTAATAGTGTACAGGAAGTTCTTGGCAATCCTAAATGGAGAAATGTTATGACTGAGGAGATGAAAGCTCTTTAGAAAAACTCTACTTGGGATATAGTTGAACTACCGGACGGTAAGAAGACTGTAGGTTGCAAATGGGTGTTCACTGTGAAGCATAAGGCAGATGGCTCAATTGACAGATATAAGGCCCGACTAGTGGCTAAAGGTTATACACAAACCTATGAGATTGATTACCAAGAAACTTTTGCACCAGTGGCTAAAATGAACACCATCTGGGTCCTCTTGTCCTTGGTTACAAATCTAGATTGGCCTCTACATCAGTTTGATGTGAAAAATGCTTTCCTACATGGAGAGTTGGATGAGGAAGTTTATATGGACCCTTCTCCAGGGTTTACTACTTCTTGTGATGTGGATAAGGTTTGCAAGTTACGAAAGTCCTTGTATAGACTTAAACAATCTCCAAAGGCATGGTTTGATAGGTTCACACAATCAATGAAAAACTATGGATTCAAACAGACTCAAGCTGATCATACTCTATTCCTCAAGAGAAATAAGGACAAGATTACTGCATTAATAGTTTATGTGGATGATATGGTAGTTACTGGTAATGATGAGAAAGAGGTTAGAAAACTTCAGAATTATTTAGCCAAGGAATTTGAGATGAAGGATCTGGGTACTCTGAAATATTTTTTGGGTATTGAGGGGGCCAAATCAAAGCATGGTATATTCCTATCCCAAAGGAAATATGTCTTAGATTTGTTGACTGAAACTGGGATGCTAGCTTGCAAACTAGCAGATACTCTAATTGAGCAAAATCACAAGTTGGGGGAATATCCAGATCAAGTTCCCACAAATAAGGAACGGTTCAAGAGGCTAGTTGGGAAACTAATTTACTTATCTCATACACGCCCTGACATCACCTATGCGGTTAGTGTGGTGAGTCAGTTTATGCATGGACCTAGTGAAGCTCACATGGATGCTGTATATCGGATTCTCAAGTATTTAAATCTGCTCCTGGTAAAGGTCTAATGTTTTATAAACATGGACATCTAGAGGTTGAGGGTTACACAGATGCTGATTGGGCTGGATCAATAACTAATAGAAGATCAACTTCTTAATACATTACTTTCGTAGGTGGAAACTTAGTAACTTGGTGGAGTAAGAAGCAACATGTGGTAGCTAGATCAAGTGCAAAAGCAGAATTCAGAGTTATGGCCCATGGGGTTCAAGAACTGTTATGGATGAAGATCTTGATGGGTGAATTGGGTTTTTGTCCCTTGAAACCTATGAGTCTTTGTGTGATAACAAGGCTGCCATTAGCATTGCACATAATCCAGTTCAACATGATTGTACCAAGCATGTTGAGATAGATAGACACTATATCAAAGAGAAACTAATAGGTGGAATGATTAGCTTGCTTTTTGTAAAGACCGAGGACCAGCTAGCAGATATTTTGACAAAGGCAATATCAAGTAGAAGTTTCAATACTTCAATCGACAAGTTGAGCATGTGAGACATCTATGCACCAACTTGAGGGGGAGCGTTAACGTGATTGATTGGGATTACATTTTATCTATTAGCATAATTAGCGTAGATTAGAGCTGACTTTGTAAGCTTAATACTTTCCTTATATGTTTAATATGTGTATAGTACATATACCTCCTTGTGAGAAGAATAAAATGATAGTAATATTTTTCTCCCTATTTTCCTCTAGTTTTGACACTTACATATATAAGTTATGCATCTACATAAATCTGCGCGGGTATACACATATATAACTTGAATATATAGCTTTCAAATTTACAAGGGTAAGCATATATTAGTTAAAAGATGTAGAGTACTGTGTACGAGTCACGTCAATATAATTGGATGGGATCCCGGCAAGTATGGGTTGAAATATACCGTCTTCCCTTTTGCTATGAAACACCGATTCCAAACCCTCAAATGTTGAAGGTTTTTTTATGATATACTAATTCTTGAATAATTGCCAATTTTGTCACATTATTTCGAAAAAACAATAGTGTCACTTGTGGCTATCATGTAATATTTATATTTGATTCCATGTGTGTGAAAGTGGTTTTCACCTTTATTAGGGAGATGCAAACTGATTCTCGTATAAAAAAATGGTTCAATGAACAATACTCATTTTATACGTTGGTAATGCTCATTTATGCAACAATACTCATTTTAAACTGATTCTCTTCCAAATTGTGTTGAGTTTATATAGAATTTCTCTACATGCTTACAAGTACGTTTTACATATTCTTTCTTTCAACTTTGTGTATTCAAAATCGTTCTATCTTTTGACTTTTTGAATAAATACAAAATACCTTAGGAACTAAGCTATGCATCTTAAATGAAAGGCCAGGTTGGGTGGGTTGTTGAAAAGAATGGCAACAAGAGAGCAGGGCCACGGCCATAGTGTTGATTTGTTCCTTTATTCTTAGGTTTCTAAATGAAGTTGGTATCTTACCCCTTTATCAAAACTCACTGTTTGCTTCAAAATCATAGCTTCTTTTCTTTAAGTTAAACTTTAGATCATTTTTAGTTTGGATTTCTTCAATCAAAATTAGAGGAGATTTAATTGAATTCACAACTGTAAGAAGCTTGCGATTTAACACAACCATACAAAATCATTTCTACTTTCTTGTAGAGAGTACTTAGTTTCTGAAAATTGAGGGTTATTCAGTAATAATACGACCTGTAACCAATGCTCTCTTCAACAATATTGCTATGTTTGGGAATTTCGAATCAGTGCTTTAGATTTGGAACTAGAGGAAATTTAGTTCAAATGACATTTTTTTTTTTTCATATGGAAGGTTGAAAATTAAGCGTCAAACAATAGTAATTTGTGTGTTCTTACTGTTTACCTACTGAAAAACATAAAACATGGCCAGAAAATTTTGTGTGCAATGGACAAAATCTCTGATTCAAAATGGATTGTTTAATTTCTGACCAGCATATACAAAACGTACAATTTAAAAGAGCCTCCAAACACATTAGAGTGACCACACACCCGTTTTCAGCTGAGGTTTGGATTTATTCAAAGATTGATTTACAGTGGAAGCAAGTTCTAGCAGCAAGACACTAGCCCTTTTGAACTATCATAGCATTACATAATGCAACTCAAAATTTTCATAAAAATTCAAAAGCTAAGTGCAAGTCCATCAAATTCATTTATAAATAATTGGTATGGTTTTTACAACATGTTTCCTGGACTTACAAGAAGAGTGAAGATGGGTCTCGTCTACGGTACCAAAACCATTGAGTTTGACTCCATATGCGTCCAATCTGCGTATGTCCCGTGCAATCGGCGATTGCAAAGTTCCGTCCCACCAACCAGGGGGGAGAAGGGGCGTGAGAGCACACTGATTTGGTTGGTTATGACAACTCAAAGGGCCTGCAAATCTGTTCCAGGCATGTCCCCAACCAACTTGGTGCCGCAGCCCTTGTGACAGCAGATTACTCTGAAAGCTGCTGAAGAACGAAAAGTTCGAAGCTACTGTATTGTTCTCACCTGGATAATGAAAATGTAAATATGAATTAAGCGTTCACTGGAAGTCCTGCAGCAGCAGTAATGTGCATTAACATACCAAGTTGGTGAGCTGCTGCTAAAGCTGCAATAAGCTGTGCATAAGTGGTTCCAATACGTCTATGGGCCCCGGAAATGACAGCGTGTTTAGCACGTGAAGCAAGAAAGAAGTCCACGAATGCAACCCACCTTGGCGACGGTCCCCAGTCCTTCACTCTAAAACCTAACTGCTGCACTGCAACTGCTCTTTCACCAGATATATTACCCTTGTATAACTTGTAATCAAAATGAAGAACCTGGGGCAGAGCAAAATGGAAACTTGATACAAATTAAAAGGTAATTTGGTAATGCAAATACTGCATATAACGATATACAATCTAAAGATGGAAGTATGATGGCGCATCATAAGTAACACAGGAAATGAGTAAGCGTTTACTAAGCAATTTACCTCAGCAAATTCCTGCAATTTTGGCAAAATATCCTTGACAAATGATGGTGTATCTGAGATCACAACCACACGAGGTCTCAACACATTTGGGCATGTTGTAAGTATGGCCTTCTTAATGCAATTCATTGCTGCAGTTACTGCTCTAACAGGTCTAGAAGCAAGAATCAAAAGCTAGTAATTAAGCAAAGTCATGTCAAACCCATAAAGAAAAGATGAAGATACTGGTCAGTAATCAAATCAACGCACAACATGAGTACTCTTAACTTTGAATTGCAAGACGAGTCTGCCCAGTTATCCGGAACATAAGAACAAGGAGAAAAGCGGTTCAAGTACCTGTTCATTAGCATGCGCATGTGCAGAGCAAGATGAGGATCAGGACCTCCATCAAGAGCCCAACTCAGAGCTTCTTCAATACTTCTTGAAGGAGATATGATTACTCTCATAAGCTCTCCGAAGACATTGGGTCTAGACTGAAGCAACTCCGTATTTCCAAATAAGGAAGAAGCAGCACTCCTCATCTGAGGATGTATATTTTTCAAGAAAAACTGAGCTGCCACAGCATCTGTTGTACCTTGAAACCTGGTGAACAATTCTCATGGTCAATGATAAAATCTGAAAAGCAATTGAAAGCTACAACAAGAAAACTCGTATAAAACATATGTATTGTTCTCGTTTTACCATATGATTGGCTGCTTCCATTTTCTCCAATTACGGCAAAGTACATTTGTTTCTTCAGGCTTATTAAAATCATCAATCCTCATAACCAGACACTTCCTGTACTTCCCCAGACAATCATTCTTTCTCCATAAATGCTTCACTTCTTTCAAAGTAAAGGAAAGGTTGGAATAAGAAACATAATCCTCAAATGGAAACTTGCCCCTGGGAATATGGAAGTGGAGCAACAATCAGCAACACTTAAGGCTGCTTACTTTTGAAAAAAATATCATCAAGTTAAATCTATAGCTGACTCAAGCTCTAAAACATAGTCCAACTGCTGCATAAAAATTGTAAAAAAATGCCTCTAGTTATGGAGAAAAACAAATAAGGAAGACGAGAGTATTTTACAATGCTTAATCATTATACTCAGACCAGCCACTATGATACACAAGTGAATGGCACATTTAGATGCAACTTGTAGTGATTATCCAAGACTAATATGTTTATATAGATGGCTTAAGCCATATAAATAGCTTTCTTGACAAAATAAATACGAAAAATAAAGGCCTGAGAGAAGACCAATATGCCTGGTTTGCCCGATGATCAGTGAACGGTTTAACATGACACTCAATCCTGCAGCAGTCAGTATCCTGTACATTTCATTCCCAAAACCCGCCTGTGATGCTTTGCCCATCACAAAACCTTGTCTGCAAAATTTCTCGGGAGGTAACCTTCGGACTCTAGAAGCTCCTGATATGGTAACCAAACGTATAAATTTCTACACCCAGACTTGTTATTTGGGCGTCAAAGGTTTCCCTTAAGGCTTTCATATACATATAACACTTCATTAATAATGCGACTCTTAACAAATAATTGAAGATTTTGAAAGAACGAATCAGCATGTGTGATAAACATGTTGCAAAAATTGGAAACAGGAAAGATAAATGCATGATAGAATGCAAATTGATGGGAACATATGAACTTTAATTGTTTTTTCACTCCTATTCCAAGTATACAGACGTTAAGTTGCATGGAATACAAGTAGGTTTTATCATATGATTGTCAGAGCTTAGCACCAGCAATTTGCTCACTTTCATGAAATATGATACAAAGACAATTCATCCTTTGAGAAAATTAGGGAACTGAAACTTAAATCTAAATTCTGATTAACATGCCATATAGATGAAATATTTAGCAGTTGTCATCCTTAATCAAATATTAATTAAAAATAGATACCCCTGTCAACAAAATATCAGTAGAGGTAAAAGACAATTTCCGATGCGTTGACAATACTTTTACATTTTAAAAATAAAAGCCAATATCTCTGAATGTGAGATGTCATTTTGCAGTGGTATAGTGGCTAAATCTCACTTGCGTCACTGAAATCTGAAGTTCTATCATGCTTTTCCTTAAGTATTCGAACTGCTCTGTTCAGTTGGCTTCTAGAAGAGCTCTCATCTGGACTTTTAAAAGCAATTTTTTGATAAAATTACTAGGCAACCTCAGTTTATCAAATCCATCATGGTTCAAGCATATGAATCCATGACGCATATTCTTTCACAACAGATAGACGGGCACAAAAAAAGTAGAAATACACATTTTTTCAGAAGTGTAGAGGGCAATTGAGGAAGGAGATGGATGCTTCAACTGATATTCATATGCTCATCCTTTATTGGAAGGATGATATTAAATGGTTTCAATAGTGAGTTATTGTAACAAGGAGGAGCTTGTCCCACATCGGATCCGGATGGGAGAGTGATTGGGGTATATATGGGCTGGGTGTTAACCCTACCTAATAACTCAGGTTTTTAGGTCGGATCGCGAAGCACCCACCCGTTACAATTGGTATCAAAGCCAAACTCAATCCTTGATCCGGTGTTACGCCAAGCGCTCGGTCCGGAGGGCGTCCAGGTCTGGACCACGGGTAGGCAGGGTGGTCCGAGCCGCAACAAAAGCGTTGCGAGTTCAGGTGGGGGAGAATGTAACAAGGAGGATCTTGTCTCACATCAGATCCGGATGGGAGAGTGATCGGATCGCGAAGCACCCACCCGTTACAGTTATTACTTAATAAGAACAATTATATGGATTGTAATAGACGTTTTATCTTAATGGAATTTGTTGTTTAATTATTTTACATATATATGGTGAATAATGTGTATTGATCAATTCATGAGATGGATTGAGGCGACCTATGATTACACGGATTGATTCATGTATGTGATTGGTGTTCATATGCAGGCTTAAATGAATCGGAATGCACCATATTATCATTTTATTTGTTTTAATTCGGTAATAGGAGATGGACTCACTATTTGCGAAAAATTTGAACAGATCAACGAAGAGCTGAAATTTTGCAACCGTCATCGTAGCAATTTACTCCTCAATTTTGTTTTGGCATAATGACTTTTAAGTATGAAAGAGCTATGGACTCTTGTTTTGGTTGGATGATTGCTTTTATTTATTCAGTGGACTCTAGGGTCTAAAAACCAAATACATTGGGTAGTCATCAAATCATTAACTTTAGAACACACTTTCAAGATTACATCTACGCTTGTATTTAATTTTACGACGAGTAGTTTAATCACGGTAAATCCAAACACTTGGTATTGTTGTTATGTGATTAAACGAAAATAATTAAGGAGTAAAATTGAAGTACTAATTATGAATTTGAAATGGTGGCAATTTATTGAATCATTTGCTAATTATGCAGAGATTAAGGAGAAAAATTGAAGTATTAATTATGAATTTGAAATGGTGGCAATTTATTTAATCATTTGCTAATTATGCGAAGGGGTTGCTATGTAAAGTAACATGGCGGTTTAACCATTCTCTAATTGGAATGCAACCATAATTATATAGTGGTATTAATTTTGATTAATGGGTTTATACAATTTTGGGTCATGAGATGACCGGGCCAATTGATCAAGTCCATTGTAGCTCAAGGGAGATTGAGCCCAATTTATGATCCTCACTTCTAACCCATTATATTAAAGTGTTAAGTCCAAGGGTGTGGAGATAGAGTATGGATTGTAGGAGTTGCTTGCAGAACTCCGAAAAGGTGAATGGAAGATTGCTAGGTAAACTCTTAAATATTTCTATATAAGGTCATTATAAACCCAATTAGGGTAAGTAGAGACTTCATCATCTCAAGAGAACCTCTCTCTCTCTCCATATAGAAATATATTCACATATATACACTATTTGTCTCTACACATTTGGTTCCTACAAATCAAGGGGCGTGGAGAACTCTAATTGGGCCATAGAAGTGAAGAGCATTTAAGTGGAGAATCAAGGGTGAAGAGAGAGCAAGGAAAGGAAGAAATCAAAGTGCTCAAAGCCTTTTATTATCAAAAAAAAAAAAAGTGTTCAAAGCCTTCAAGAATCACCTCAAGTGATTGGTCTTCAAGGATAAGAACACTAATCTTATATATGATTTTTACATCATCCATTCGAGTTTAAAAAGGGTTTACTAATATCTACACCAAATATTGTTTAACGATGTTTTCAACTAAAGAATCATTTCCTTCAAAAACAATTGTAAATATTTCCATGGATAGAGGATTGTGGGTTCATCAGGTAGTGAAGAAAGCACAAACACACCATGCTATAATGCACCATCAGTTCACATCTGTCTGCAAAAACCCTCGTTAAAACCATTATAAAATGCAATGTAGGTCCCTAAAATCGATACAATGTATGGCAACAAAGACATTTTAGAACTCTATAATCCTGCGAATTTATATTTGTATTGTGCAATATAAGTTTGGCAAAGACTAAAATTCATTTTCCCCCAAATTAAAAGGGTTGCTCATAATTGTGGTCTAGAAGTTGCTTAAATGCATGTAAATGATTGAACAAACGCGCATACATGGACAACACTGTGAAATTAGTACCAATTTGAAGAACAAGAAATCAAGTACAGTGATCAATGTAACCTGAAATATTTAACGGTTCAATCTAACACAACAAAATCAAGTTCACCAATACTACTTAATTCACTTTATTCTATCTATGTACATGCATAGATCTAACTCTGCTAAACTAGTAATTACTTACTTCAATATATTTAATGTATGTGCATACATAGATCTAATTCTGCTAAAGTACTAGTGGCAATTTGAATTAAGAACAAGAAACAATAGCTATAGATGAATTTACCATTTGTTTTTTTGCTTTGTTTTCTGAGCAACCAAGCAGAGAAAGAAATAAATGTGGAAGATGATATTTAATTAAATAATTCAAAGGAAAGAAATAGAAAACGTACCGTGCAATGAAAAGTGGTCTCTAATCAATCTTCGAATTCTGAGATTTTCAGTAGCAACAGGAGTGGCCTCCTCCCCCATTTGTTCGACGGTCGCGCATGAAGGAGAAGACCGAATCTCCGACGACGACGAACTTGAACTTGGAAGAAGATGGTCATGAGGTATTGGGTGTACTTGGACCGGATCAGACCGGGATTTGAGCGGAAGAAGAATTTGGGTGGGAGGATCGACGGAGCTGAGGTGGTTGAGTAAAAGAGTACTGAAACCGGTTAAGAGAGTAGCGGAGAAGAGGAGTAATATTTTGTGAAGGGAAAAAGTGTTCCGGCGACGAGTTCCGATTATGAATCCCATGCTCACTGTCACTGAGAGAATGATGCAAGACTGATATTACATTTAGATCCTCGTAAGACAAGAACAAGAACTACACGGTGTGTGTCCGTCCTTTTGCTACGTCATAATCAATCAATACACGTAATTAATATTATTAATTTATCATTGTGTTCGGCCTTTTGACAGCTAATCAGGATTCCCTGCCTGTTTTTAGGGTATGTTTGATACGGTGGGTTTGAAGGGAGTGGATAACATTAATTATGAAAGGAATGGAAGTGTTCGGCCTTTTGACAGCTAATCAGGATTCCCTGCCTGTTTTTAGGGTATGTTTGATACGGTGGGTTTGAAGGGAGTGGATAACATTAATTATGAAAGGAATGGAAGGGAAGAAGAGGATAATTTTAATTAATGAATGAAAAAAAAAAAGCAAAGAATAATAATCATGAGAAAGGAAAGGAAAAGAAAGAGAATAATTTTAATAAATTTACTATTATGTCTTTTCATATTTTAAAAGATATATATATATATATGTATATATATATATATATATAATGGCCCATGGATCGGCCACCAGAAAAGGAAAAATTATTTTAGGGCAAATTATTTCAGCCTCTGTCTCTATTCTCAACTCTGAACTTGACCCCTCTCTCCTCTCTCTGCAACGGCAAACTACTGCAAGAATCAGAAGTTCAAAACCCATATATTTCAGTTTATATATTTGTCTGCAAGAATCAAAAGTTCAAAACGCATATCGGCATCATTTCAAATTGTTCAAAAAATAAAAACCCATATCGATCTTTCAGTTTCCATCGCCCGCTGTTCCAATTCGGATTCGCCGTTCGCAAGCTTCAGCCACTTGCCCTCTTTCCTCAACTCTCAAGCTTGCCCCCCTCTCTCTCTATGCAACTGCTAACTTGTATGTATGGTGTAATCAAGGGCAAACTTGGCATCAGAAATCACACACCAAGCCTCTCCTTCCCTTTCCTTCTGTTTTCTCCCATTTTTTGGAGGTTAAGAAATCTACTGTTGAAGCCTTGTGTTAACCATTCAAAACCTTCCCTTTCCTTTCAACCATTTGAGCCAAACATAAATTTTTAATCCCCCTCTATCACTTTCCCTTCCCTTTCCTCCCTTTTCTATTGCACCAAACTGACCTTTATTTCTATATCATGTGGAGAGAAGATCCGGTTCTTTGAGCTCCAAAAAGTACCCTTATTTATTTATTTATTTATTATTATTATTATTTATTTTATAATATATGGTGTTGTCAGGCTATTACGGCATTCCATAATCACAATCAGGCACACCGCAATCTCGATCCACGTAAAGATGCAATTTAGGTGGGCTAATCTAAATCCAAGTAAAGCCGTCTGATTTTTCACAAGAGGCTGTGAAATTATTTTTATAATTAGCGTTGGTTTTAAATTATTTTTATAACTTAAAATTTAGGGTTAATTACACTCACACCCCCTAAAGTTTATGTTATTGACAGACAGATGATAGTTGACCTTTTTTTGAACACTCACACTGTGATACCCCTCGGATCCGAGACAAGGGTTGATCAGGCCCAGGCCCAAACCCGAGGGATATCAAACAATTAATATGTTATAACGAACACAGAATACAAAAATATGAATTTAAGAATAAAAGTTTAAAGCTGAAAAGAAAACTAAAAGATAATCCTTAAATAATTAAATACTTAAATCTGATAAACCAAAAATCCATAATTTGAACAACTCGGGAATCCATCTCTAGTGGACCCCTAATAAAAATCCCACAAAGTAAAATGGAAGATAAAATCCAAATCCAAGATCTGGAAAGAAATCCTACATCGTCGGTAGAATGGAAGATCGTCTCTGCTCAGCACGAACAAGCTCAAGCCTGGAACTGACGTACACCTGAAAAATAGGAGTGGGTCAGGCCCACGAACAAGTTCTATCCTACTACAATCCAAGCAGAGATTTGATTCGCATGTACATACTAAATAGTTCAACAATAACTAATAATCCGTACATACATACATCCACACTACTGGACTCTCACTAGGCTATGCAGGGGGTCTCAACCTGGATAGAAGGTATCACACAATACGCACCTGAGTGGGTATGAGTACCTAAACCTAAACAGGGTATACCTCAACCTTCACAGTCAGCTACACATCCAACTGCATATACGCACCCTAACCGTCGACACTGAGACTCAAGCTCATGACACGGTAACATAAAAATATATCTAAACTCTGTTTCTAACCATCCACAATAAATCCAGTAAGTCACTCGGCGTATTCAACCGTACCGACTTATATATATAAGGAGGATTGTATTTTATAACCCGTACCCTTACTCCAAAATAGGTAGGACTTAGCAATTTGAGCTAATCCAAACCTAGTATGACACCGTCCCATACCGGTGCATACAATCTCATCCATCCAATAGTTGACAAAGTATTTACAACAACAATATCAACATTTCCATATTAATCATAATAAAGTAATTTATCAAACATGCTTAATTAACCAACCGTAGATAAAATACTGTCCACAAAAGTGTCAATACCAAGATTTCCAAACTAGCATGTTAGAGCAGATTAACAATCATACTTAATCAAACTAATATAGAATGTCATAACTTGATCACACATAACTGTATCCGTATTAAACTCCATGTTCAGTTTCCATATAATTAACAAACCTGAAGTAGCAGTACGTCATCAATTAATTTTATGGTGGGCATAAACACTATAAGCCATTAACATATTTTAAAAATCCCAGTCCAACCATCAATGCACTACCTGCTAGAATCTAATGATCAACTAGTCTCTAAACAACCTTAGCACGACATAGATTTTTCTCATGCTTATTCAGCACCACCATACAAAATTAGCAGTGATTAAATCCCTCCCATAGAATTTTCTAACTTATAAATGAAAATTAATAAGCTATACCCTCACAGTATGGAAGTTCATTAAAATTTTGCATACAGACTTACATAATTGACAACTAAGAGTTTGTTCATAAATTAACTGTCCTTTAGAGTTTAAAATTTATTCTGGACAACCCTTTAAGCATCCATTACAGCACCTTTTCTCCTTTGAAACTTCATACAACCTAACAACCATGGCTTCCTTACTGAAAATTGAGAAACAAAACCACAGAACGGAAAAACCCTGAAAAGCAAAAGATGGAGCATGCTCCAAAAATACTTGGAAATTTAATCCCAACCCTAGACCACTATTAAACCATCCATTACAGTATTTAGTTTCTATTAGAAGACTTAGAAATTCCATACACAAGAATCTGTCTCACTGAAAACCAACAGAAAACAAATAAAACGTAAAACTGGAAAAACAAAAGATGGAGCAGGCTCAAAAAAACACTTGGAGCCTCCTCCAAGTGCCTTGGAGCCGCCTCCAAAGGCTTTGGAGCCGCCTCCAAGTCAAAAAGAGCCGGCTCCAACCAAAAAAAGAGCCGGCTCTCTCCCTCTTCTTCTCCGTGTTCTCTTCTCCGGCTTCATCTACTCCTCCGGCGCTTTACTGTTTAGGTTCTTAGAAACTGTAACTAGATCCCAGTAGGTTCCAAACCTTGTTTAAGTCCTTATTATACTTACTAACATGGATTCAAACAGAAAACAATGCAGGAAAAGTTTCAAGTTTTAAACAGTTTATCAAATAGAACTTACGACCAACAGTTTAAAATCATGGAAACAGATATCATATATTTCTTCGTTAAAACATGTAATTCATCCTGGAACTATATAAGCATGCAAAGAACACGAAGCCTAAGGGAGAGAGTTAAGACAAAACTTGCCTTTGAGACTTTTGTTCAAAGTCTTTACGTCGGCTTCTAAGGTTCCGGCGAAACTCTGTTTCTTCACTTGGCTAATTACCCAGACGTCACCAAAACTTCTCACCACCTTACTGTGTCGTAATGATATTCTAAAACCCTAGGCAGACCTCTTAGATGAGTATTTATAGAACATACTAACCCTAGACTTAGTTAAACCCTAATCAGATTACTCAGCCCATAACACAATCTAAATGAAAAGCATGATGGCTACTTATGTGTTTACCTAATGGAACTATATAAAAGTCACGTAAAAATTATTAAATAAATGCATACCATTTAAAGCAATAATTTAAACAACTAATTACAACAACCAATTAAATAAATTAAAACAATTAATTTCAAATAAAACAAATAATCAAATAAATTCAAAACAAATAACCAAATAATGAAATTAAAAACCATTTATGCAAATAATCAATTAAACAAAACAATTAGTCAAATAATAAATAAAAATCGCAATTTAAACAATAATTTAAATACCAGGACTATCCTTTTGAAATTAGGGGTATTACATTCTTCCCCCCTAACGAAAGGAATTCCGTCCTCGGAATTCACTCTTACCTTCTTCCATTAATCCAGGAAACTGCGAGCGAATAACATCCTCCCGTTCCCAAGTGGACTCAACCTCATTGTGATGACTCCACTGGACACGAACCAAAGGAATAACCTTATTACGAAGAATCTGATCCCGACGGTCAACAATACGACACGGTGGCTCCGAATAAGTTGCGTCCGGCTGCAACTCAATCTCCCCAACATCGATATGCTGATACCGATCCTCATCTCGCAGAAATTTCCGCAACATGGAATACATTATGCACGCGATCCAAATTATCCGGAAGTGCCAATCGATAAGTGACAGCTCCAACTCGATCCGTAATCATGAATGGACCGACAAATTGCGGTGACAACTTTCCTTTCTTCCCAAAGCGCATGACACCCTTCATAGGCAACACTTTGAGTAGAACCTGATCCCCAACCCTAAACTCCAAAGCACTTGTGCGACGATCCGCATAACTCTTCTGCCTACTCTGGGCAGTACGCATGCGATCCCGAATAAGAGCAATCGTCTCAGAAGTATCCTTAATGAACTCAGGACCCAAGAATCTGCTCTCGCCGACCTCCATCCAACAAACAGGCGATCGACACGGTCGACCGTATAACGCCTCAAATGGTGCCATCCCAATAGTTTTCTAGAAACTATTGTTATAAGCGAACTCCACA